TGTTTTTACTCAGTTGCATTCTCTGTTTTAAAAATTCGCATTTTCGAAAATCAAGCATGTTGCTCCTTGAAATTTTCACCATCGTTAGACGACACGTGACACTATAGATTCCGAAAGTTTCATTAAAGTAACCCTGAATTCTGAGTTTTGCCAGCTTAGCCATTCTGGGTTTCAAAATTCATGTTTTCATTCAACTGAGCTCTATCTGTTAAAAAATTCATACTTTCTAAACTATTGCAAGTAGCGACTTGAAATTCTTACCGTCTTTAGAATACACGGGGCGCTGCAGATACTGGAAGTTTCGTCAAAATTGTCCTGAATCCTGAGTTTTTCCAGATTTTCAATTATGGGTATTCAAATTGTTTTTACTCAGTTGCATTCTCTGTTTTAAAAATTCGCATTTTCGAAAATCAAGCATGTTGCTCCTTGAAATTTTCACCATCGTTAGACGACACGTGACACTATAGATTCTGAAAGTTTCATTGAAATAACCCTGAATTCGGAGTTTTGTCAGCTTAGCCATTCTGGGTTTCAAAATTCATGTTTTCATTCAACTGGGCTCTATCTTTTAAAAATTCAAGCTTTCTAAACTACAGCAAGTAGCGACTTGAAATTTTCACCATCCCCAGAAGACACGGGGCGCTACAGATGCTGGAAGTTTCATTAAAATTGTCCGGAATCCTGAGTTTTACCAGATTTTCAATTATGGGTATTAAAATCGATGTTTTTACTAAATTCCATTTTCTGTATTGAAAATTCACATTTACGAAAGTAGAGCATGTTGGCCCTTGAAATTTTCACCATCGTTAGACGATACGTGGAACTACACATGCTAAAAGTTTAATTACAATAACCCCTAGTCTTGAGTTTTGCCAGTTTAGCCATTATGGGTTTCAAAATTGATGTTTTCTTTCAATTGGGCTCTATATTTAAAAAATTCGTACTTTCCAAACTATAGCAAGTAGCGACTTGAAATTTTCACCACATTTAGAAGATACGGGGAGCAACCGATGCTGGAAGTTTCATCAAAATTTCCCTGAATCCTGAGTTTTACCAGCTTTTCAATTGTGGGTATGAAAAATTGATGCTTTTACTCATGCATTTTTCACTCATGCATTCTTTCTTTTCAAAATTCGCATCTTCTAAACTGAAGCATGCAGCAACTTGAAATTTTCGCCATCTTTACAAAACACGGGACTCTACAGATGTTGAAAGTTTTATTAAAATCGGCTCCAATCCTGAATTTTGCCAGCTTAGCGATAATGGGATTCAAAACTGATGTTTTTACTCAATTGCACTCTCTGGTTTCAAAATGTGCGTCTTCTAAATTAAACCAAGCTACGACTTGAAATTTTCAGCACCTTTAGAAGACACTTGACTCTACAGGGTCTGAAAGTTTCTGTGGAGTCAATTTCTGAGAAATTCCAGAAAACAGCCTTCAAATAACTGGAAAATTTTTCAGTACTTTTAGCCGTCGTGGAAAGAAAGTCTCTCAGGGCAGTTTTAATGGATGTGTTCTTTCTAGCCCTTCGGCCACGACACTGGTTGAACAAGAATCCTGAACATTTTACAAGTTTAGAGTTAGAGTCCGAAGGGACCAATTCTGGTTCGAAAACTGGTGATTTTTTCAAACAACAATGTCTTTTGTGACCTTCTTACAAGTAAAAGTACAAGTAAAAACATCAATTTTAATACCCATAAATGAAAATCTGGGAAAACTCAGCATTTAGGGCAATTTTTATGAAACTTCCAGCATCTGCAGCGCCCCGTGTCTTCTAAAGATGGTAAAAATTTCAAGTCGCTACTTGCTATAATTTAGAAAGCATGAATTTTTTAACAGATAGAGCCCAATTGAATGAAAACATAAATTTTGAAGCCCAGAATGGCTAAGCTGGCAAAACTCCGGATTCAGGGTTATTTTAATGATACTTGCGGCATCTGTAGCTAAACGTGTCGTCTAACGATGGTGAAAATTTTAAGGAGCAACCAGCTCTAGTTTATAAAATGCGAATTTTTAAAACAGAGAATGCAATTGAGTAAAAACATCAATTTTAATACCCATAATTGAAAATCTGGTAAAACTCAGCATTTAGGGTAATTTTGATGAAACCTCGAGCATCTGTAGCGCCCCGTGTCTTCTAAAGATGGTGAAAATTTCAAGTCGCTACTTGCTATAGTTTAGAAAGCACGAATTTTTAAAAGATAGAGCCCAGTTGAATGAAAACATCAATTTTGAAACCCAGAATGGCTAAGCTGACAAAACTCAGAATTCAGGGCTATTTTAACGAAACTTTCAGAATCTGTAGTGCCACGTGTCGTCTAACGATGGTGAAAATTTCAAGCAGCAACATGCTTGAGTTTCGAAAATGCTAATTTTTAAAACAGAGAATGCAATTGAGTAAAAACATCAATTTTAATACCCATAAATGAAAATCTGGGAAAACTCAGCATTTAGGGCAATTTCTATGAAACTTCCAACATCTACAGCGCCCCGTGTCTTCTAAAGATGGTAAAAATTTCAAGTCGCTAATTGGTATGATTTAGAAAGCACACATTTTTAAAACATAGAGCCCAGTTGAATGAAAACATAAATTTTAATACCCAGAATGGCTAAGTTGGAAAAACTCCGGATTCAGGGTTATTTTAGAAAAACTTTCAGAATCGGTAGTGTCAGCTGTCGTCTAACGATGGTGAAATTTTCAAGAAGCAACATGCTCGAGATTCGAAAATGCGAATTTTTAAAACAGAGAATGAAATTGAGTAAAAACATGAAGTTTAATACCCATAATTGAAAATCTGGTAAAACTCAGCATTTAGTGCAAGTTTGATGAAACTTCCAGCATCTGCAGCGCCCCGTGTCTTCTAAAGATGGTAAAAATTTCAAGTGGCTACTTGCTTTAGATTAGAAGACACTAATTTTTAAAAGATAGAACCCAATTGAAAGAAAACATCAATTTTGAAGCCCAGAATGGATAAGCGGGCAAAACTTAAGATTCAGGGCTATTTTAATGAAGTAGTGTAACGTGTTGTCTAACGGTGGTGAAAGTTTCAAGAAGCCACATGCTCTAGTTTCGGAAATGTGAATTTTTAATTTTTTTTTCTCCAGTTCTTTCAAGGTTTTTTTTAAATTCCTCCGAAGCTCCCTTATAGATATATAAAACATCTAGTAATCGCGCCTACATTGAGAAAATGTCGCTCAAAAATCGCCTCTAAGAAGGTCACAAAAGACATTGCTGTTTGAAAAAATCACCAGTTTCCGAACCAGAATTCAGACAACAATGTCTTCCTGACGTTTCGCAAGCACGAGCCGCTTGCATCTTCACCCGTGGTTGCGTTGGTGCACTGAGCAAACACTAGGAAGCTGGTCTCCATAAAGCCCGAGAGACTCCAGACCAGTTTTAGTGCCTCTAAAACCCATTTAACTTTAAAGAAACCCACCACTACTCCAGAGGAGAGCCGAAAGCGCACCATTTACCAACTAATCAGCAAAGAACAGCAGTATGCCACCTGCCTGCAGTTCGCCATCACCAGATTCGTATCCGCATTGGCAGAGAGGCGGGACTTGCTGACCGCTTCCGAGCATAAAGTGTTGTTCCAAAACTCCGAAGAGGTGATTGATTGGACCAAATAAGCCGCTAGTTGATTGCACGTGCATTTGCAGATACTGCGGATAACTGAAGATATCTTGGACCATCTGGTGCATGAGGATGGGGAAATGGATGCGAGCATACTGAGCAGAGTCTATCGGTGCAAACTGCACGAAATTACTTCGGCCTATAAAAGATACTGTTCGGGGATTAAGAAGGCTGATTGCGTCCTGGCCAATAAGATGAAGAACAGCAATTCGGATTTTGTCAAGTAAATGCAACGCAAACCAGTGGAGGGTTGGATGAATGGTGGCTTTTTTGCTGCAGGTTCATCCAGTGCCCGGCCATTCCCAGAAGGCGACCGGACCTTACCACTTTCATCCACAAGCCCTTGGAGCATTATCGCGAAGCGCTAAAGATTCTCATGGCCATCCAGGGCCACACGCCACCAAAACACGAGGATTTTTCCGCGATTGGTCAGATTGTCCATGAAATGCAGGTAAGCGCCCAAAGAACCCACCTGCAAATGCTGCATCTTCCCTATTTAGGTGACCTACAGGGAAATTACTTCGGAAGGAGGGCTGATGGAGCCCTGCGGGGAAGGCCGCCCGTTACTCTCGGTCCAGGACCTGGAAAATCGCCTGGTTTTCACCAAATGCAAGGTAGAAGACCTGCAGATTTTCCTACCAGGGGCTCATGGGGGTTTGATCTTCTCCAGCCCTTTGTGCTCAACAAACCAGGACGCCAGTGGATTTTTGGGGGCGACTTGGGGCGAGTAGAAGGCCGGAACGTCCGCCAATACTGGACCTTGCTCTTCAGTGACCTCATCCTATTCGCCAGAGCCTCTAGGGATCGGGTTCTATTTATCACCGAAGATCCGCTTCCTCTAGCTCATGTTACTGATATTGTTTTCAACGTTAGGAAAAAGGGTTTGTTCGCTTCTGCTAATGACTGGGGAAAGATTTATTTTTATTTTTTTCGTGCAGATACGGAGTTTAGAATATGCACCAATTCGGATGCCAAAAGGCAGGCCACCAGTCCCACCATCCACTGCGGCCCCGATCTGAGTCGGACCCCGAAGAAGAGCTCCTGCAGAAAAACTGTGATTTTGCGCGCGCCCACCATGGAGCTCAAGGCGGTCTGGCAAAATTTACTGCAGAGGCAAATGTAAGTGGGTTTTCACTGTTTTACTGCTCCAGGGAGTTGAATTGCTATCCTCGCGTTTATAGGAGGTTTTATAGTGCTTTAGCTGCAGAATCAGGCCAAAGTGCCGGTTCGATGTTTCTTAGAAAAGAACCTAGTTTTTCTTAGTGTTAATAGCACTTAGATTAGGATGGTTTTTCTTAGGAATAGGCGAGTTTGGGAAGATTTCAGATTCGAAGAAAACCGCCGGAAATTTTGCGCAATTTGCTGCACTGATACAGGGTGACCCATGGATATGCGCTCGAAAACTCCCTTCTCTTTTTTACAAACTTTTTGCTGGGTATTTGGCCTCAAAAATGTTTGTCTTTAAAAAAGACAGAATTTCCTCATCTCGCACTAATCGACGCAATTTCGGAAATATTTTACGAGAAGGGAGTTGTAGATAAGTTCTATATTGTTGAGGCGGAAAATTTGCCCCTCGAGTCCATATTCCAGGGCCACCATGTACCGGAACCGAAACTAGGTTTACTAATGAGATCCTGCGGCTTTTCCGTTAATACTGCAGAGGATCTCACTAAAAAAATAGATTTTTTGCATTTCCGCAAGCAGCCTCCACCTAAATGCCGGTTTGGATGGAAGCGCACTTAGTTCCCCCATGGAATCGCCGGAGGTTCCCATCAACTCTTCGGTGGGCACTTTGCAGTCGGTTGAAACGAGCTCCATGCGACGTCAGGTGCGTCTACTACATGGCAATATGGCCTTTTTTCACCCCTCGGCAACATATCCAAATGAACACAATCCCCATGAACCCCCATCCCCCCAGAACATCAACACGTCCTGTCGGGTGCGAGTCTCTTCGGATGAAGTTGAAAGCGTCTTCAGCGGGCATGAGGATCTGGCCTCGTCTGAGGTCCTGTTGGAGGCCTTTGAAGAGATCCAGCTGGGGGAGGAAGCCAGCTCCCATCGCTCCCCAATCGTTTCCACTAATTCCACGGCGTTTCTCTCCTCGGGCAAGGGTTCTGTTGCCACCTCCACTAGGCCAGTTTGGTCCAATAAGAGCTCGGAGACTCCCAGCACTTTGGACTCTTCGTCCTTCTACAACCGAAGCCCTGTTGATGAGGTGTTTGATTCGGGTGATCTTCCCAAGTTGTCTTTGGGCCAACCAGCGAGTCCCAGTGCGATTTTGACTCCCAGCAGCGAAGTCTCTGACCAATCAGGCAGCAGCTACGACTTGCGGGACGACTTTTGGGACGTGAGTCAGTTTGATTACGATTTGAGCAGTTTGAATATCGATGGCATGTCCCAGCTGAGTGGCAATTTTAATTTTTGATGCGCGCTCAAAAATAGTTCTCGTCTGCAATAATTCCCAGCCTGAACTAGTGATTGGTTGCCCCTCCTTTCCAAGTTCCGGCTCCCTGCCTTTCCATGGCCAGCCCCTCCTAGAGACTACATAGCTGATATTGTTAATAATTTTTTTATTCGAATGAATCAAAAAGTGCCTTTTTGCGAACAGAAGCGATGATAAAAAAGAAGCACTTTTCTTTAGCGTTCGTTTGTTTTACTTTTACGCACGGACTTTGCCGCACAGTGTGCGACAAAGTAAATGTGACACTTTGAACTTGCCACTGTCATTATATATTTTTTAGTA